ACCAAGCAGTGGGTAAACTGAGGGGCACAGCTAAGATATGGTATGATAGTTTAGTAATTAATGAACTTGGTTGGTCTCAATACACGTGGGAACAGTGGAAACAAAGGATTTCTGAAACATTTTATAGCAGACGTGATATGTATTCCTTGCTCAGAGATTTGATGAATTTCAAACCCAACAACGGTACTTCCTTGTATGAGTTTTTCTTTCTCTATATGTCAAAAATTAATAATTTAGGCCTCAATTTTTCTGAAGAAGATAAAATTTCATTGATTTTAGGAGCAATTAATGATAAAAATATTTCTGCTGCGGCAGAAGGAATCAGAAATGTTAATGATCTGGGTACCTATTTGAGGAATAAAAACCATTTTAATCAAAAACATGAAGCAAGGCTATCAGGCAATACTGATTTACAACCAGGGCCTAGTAGATATCCTACTTTCAGAAATAAAATCAATAGTCAAACATATAGGGAATGTGTTTCGTGTGGAAGTAATGGCCACACTAGGGATACATGCCCTCATAAGCATAAAAATTGTAGATTTTGTGGGAAAAAAGGTCACATTGAATCAGCGTGTCTCAAGAAGCAAGGTCCCAAATCATACTCTGTTAAAATGATCAGGAAAGATGACTCAAAAAAGTTTTACAGGGAAGTGCAGATAAATGGGAAGGTGACGCAAGCGTTCATTGATTTTGGAAGTGACTGTTCACTCATTGAAAAACAACGTGCCGACGAACTAGAGTTGGTCGTACAGAAATTGGATAAACCAATTAATCTATTCGGATTTGCAGGTCACTCTATTATTATTTCTGACTATGTTACTGCTGAAGTATCAATTGGCAGGTGTTCGTTAGTTACACAAATTTATGTTACTGATCACAGCTTGAGAGATACTGAAATAATAATTGGACGAAATTTTACTGAAAATGAATCAATTTCATACTTTCGTAATAAGGATGAGTTGATTTTCATTCAGTCTAATACATCCAAGAATATTAACGTGACCAATGCCGGTACCATTTCAATAACAAATGATATTTCACACGGGGCGTTATCACAAATTGAAAATCAACAACTCTCCGAACTCATTTGCGAATTCGAGGGTTGCATGTACACCTCAATGAGGATGTTGGGCAAAGCACATTCAGTATCTTTGAAAATTATCACAAAATCTGTTATTCCTATACGTTATCGTCCATATCGGTTATCGGAAAACGATAAAATCACAATGAGAACACAAATTACCGAACTTTTGGAAGCTAATATCATACGAAAGAGCAAATCAGAATACGCTAGCCCAGCAATTCTAGTTAATAAAAAAGGTGGAGAGAAACGGCTTGTGGTCGATTATAGATCCTTGAACAAAATAACGGAAAAAGAAACATTTCCACTTCCATTAATCGAAGATTTAATAGATGCCTTAGGAGGATTTCAGTATTATTCCACTTTGGATCTAGCAGCCGGCTATCACCAAATACCTATTCATCCAGAATCAATTGAAAAAACAGGATTCATCACCCCTGAGGGACATTATGAGTACCTTCGTGTCCCATTTGGTCTTTGCAATGCACCAAGCGTTTTTCAAAAAATGATGTCGGAAATTTTCGAACCACTACGCTCATTTGGTGTAACACCCTACTTAGATGATATAATAATTCCATCCAAATCTATTCCAGAAGGATTAAGCCTTCTCAGAAAGGTATTTGAGATTATTAGAGAATACGGATTGACAATCAAGTTGTCAAAATCACATTTTTTACAAAAACAAATAAATTATTTGGGATATACTATCTCAAAAAATTGTGTATCCCTAAGTGAGGATAAAACCGATGCTGTTCGAAGATTTCCGATTCCAAAAACAGTACACCAGCTCAGACAATTTTTGGGTCTGGTAGGCTACTTTCGTAAGTTCATCGCGAATTATGCTCGAATAACACGACCGCTAACTGCACTCCTCAAAATAGAGACCAAATGGACATGGAACGATACTCATGATCAAATCGTAAACACTTTGAAGAAATTGATTTGTTCGAAACCGATATTGACAATATTTGATCCTAATTTAAAATCTGTTGTTTATACCGATGCATGTAGGGACGGATTAGGTGGTATACTAATGCAAGTAACACAAGAAGGGGAGAGACCAGTGGCATATTATAGTAAACAAACCGATAAAAATGAGCAGAATTATCATTCCTTTGAATTGGAATTATTAGCAATAGTAAAAACTTTAGAACGCTTTCGTCACTATCTGTTGGGCACTGAATTCACAATAATAACGGACTGTAGTGCAGTCAAAAACGCTTTGTCAAAGAAAACTATCATACCAAGAATAGCTAGATGGATGTTGAGCCTTCAAGAATACAACTTCAATATTCAACACAAGGCAGGGTCACAGATTCAGCATGTTGATGCTCTAAGCAGAAATCCTGGATTCACAGAGGAAACTCATGACATGTGTATGATATCGGAAGACGATTGGTTGAAGGAAGCCCAGAATCAAGACCGGGAAATTGAAGACATAAAGAACATTCTCCTCTCAGGTGATAGAGACAATAACTCCGCAGTTTTCAAGGATTACGATCTTCGTGGCAACAAAGTTTATAGACTTACAAATTCTGGTCGGAGATGGGTAGTACCCAAAAAGTGCAGGTGGCAAGTGGTCAAACTGAACCATGATGACGTCGGACATTTTGCATTTGAGAAAACACTAGAGAGGCTACGTCAATACTATTGGTTTCCGAAAATGAGACGATTTGTCAAGAAATATATCGAATCCTGCCTGAACTGTTTGTACCATAAATCAAGTGGTGGAAAAAAACCCGGACTTTTACACTCTATACCTAAATATGCTGCACCCTTCCATACTCTTCATGCTGACCATTTAGGACCATTCGTGAAATCCCAGGCGAACAATAGTTACCTTCTTGTTATAGTGGACGCCTTCACCAAGTTTGTAGTAATCAGAGCAGTTCCAGATACCAAAACCGTCCACGTAATCAAGGAGTTCGACCAGCTCGTGAACATTTTTGGGAATCCTCGAAGGTTGATTTGTGACGCTGGCAAAGCATTTACCTCTAAACAGTTCATCAACTATTGCGAGCAGAAAGGTATAAAACTATTCAACACAGCAGTTGGTATGCCGAGAGGTAATGGTCAAGTTGAGAGAGCAAACAAGGTTATTCTCGATGCTCTAGCGACTACAGGTGCTAACACTACCGATGACAACTGGGACGAAAAGTTGAATGCCATTCAACAGGGTATCAACAGCACTCACCACAAAGTCACTTCTGCTACCCCCGCTGAACTTCTTCTTGGCATAAGGCTCAGAACGGATGGAGATCGCTACAATATGGAAGATGAAGACATTTTAGATGTGACAGAGCTGAGACGTAAAGCAAGTGAGAGATTGGAAGAAAACAGGTGTTATCAAAATAACTATTTCAATCGAAAGAGACGGGTCTCAGATGGATTCCAAGTTGGAGACTTGGTGTTGACTAGAATTTCCAGCCTTCCATCCAACGATGGTCAAAGTAAGAAGTTATTAGCTAAATACAAGGGACCATTCAAAGTAATTGAGGTGTTACCTAAAGATCGCTACAGGGTTAAAGAGGACATACATTCAACTCGATCAAGAATACCATACGAGGCTGTAGTTTGCTTGGAACATATGAAACCTTTCAAAATAAGATCTTGAATGGTGAGTAGACCATACCAGGGTTGGGAGATTGCCCGTTTGCTGGTAGGGGTGGGAGATTGCCCGTTTGCTGGCAGGGTTGGGAGATTGCCCGTTTGCTGGCAGGGGTGGGAGATTGCCCGTTTGCTGGCAGGGTTGGGAGATTGCCCGTTTGCTGGCAGGGTTGGGAGATTGCCCGTTTGCTGGCAGGGTTGGGAGATTGCCCGTTTGCTGGCAGGGTTGGGAGATTGCCCGTTTGCTGGCAGAGTTGGGAGATTGCCCGTTTGCTGGCAGGGTTGGGAGATTGCCCGTTTGCTGGCAGGGGTGGGAGATTGCCCGTTTGCTGACAGGGTTGGGAGATTGCCCGTTTGCTGGCAGGGTTGGGAGATTGCCCGTTTGCTGGCAGGGTTGGGAGATTGCCCGTTTGCTGGCAGGGTTGGGAGATTGCCCGTTTGCTGGCAGGGGTGGGAGATTGCCCGTTTGCTGGCAGGGTTGGGAGATTGCCCGTTTGCTGGCAGGGGTGGGAGGTTGCCCATTTGCTGGCAGGAGTGGGAGGTTGCCCATTTGCTGGCAGGGGTATAGGGAGTGTGCGAAGCAGGAAATATTAGTAACCCTAATTTTGTTTGCATTTTTCAGACTGATGTCGCGATCGGGGACGATCGCAAAATCCAGGATGGCCGAGTGTTGCACCACATCTACAAGATAGTCTGCGCCCTGTATATGAGATTGATATCCACATTGACTCACGTCGAGTCATACGATTATGCAAGGGTACAATCATCGGGGGATAAGGAATGTGGACGGTTATCAGTTAGGCAGTCTTTGCGAATACGTGGTGTAGTACTGTGGTATTTCTCAATATAGTGTGCTTTAGTTACAACAGTGTTTCAATACCTTACATATGCAATTAAAGGTAGGTATTCTCAATATACAGGAAGTAACGTAAGTACGTTCAAGTGAAATATTACTGAGATAATTTTAAGGAATAAAGTCTTGTGTCCGGAAATGCTTCAATTCGGAGATACAGAGTGTTCAAATACAGAGAACAAATCATTTTTCGGTAAACATTTCATAGGAAAAAAGTAGTTTATTTTGACGAGACTTACCACATACTTGGTTTTGTAAAGTTCTCAACAATTTCACTTTGCGCCATAGAAGCTAAGTAACATGGATCGATATGGAAAATTGTAAATATCTCCAAAACGATAACCTCCAGCGTAATTAAGGCCCTTATAATAACTCCCTTGATACATAAATAACTATTCTCTTTGGTTTCATGTTCATATAAATACCCAAGCATAGATCTAATTATTAATTAGATCTATGACCCAAGTAAGTATAATAGATGTGAGAACATAATATACCTTCTGAAAACACACGAGTTTTGCGTTCATAATAAGAAATTCACTAACTTCTTAATTCCATACTTCGACTCGCTTTTGAATTCCTCAATATTATTCTGCTTTGTAAATTGATGGAACAGCAGATTCTCTCAAAGAGATATTGAAATCTTCTGTTTGAAAATGGGCCTAAAATATAGTTTCATTCTAATCAGATGCTGTTAGTGAACTTATCGGACTTGCTGTACCAATACAGAAGCCGAATTGACCCACACGTGAATAATCAACCACTTTTTTGAGCGGTAGAATTTTTGACAAAACGTCAATTATGTTGAAAGCCAGAATGATGAATGCAGTGTGCGAAACTCTCGCGAGGCGCTCGTTTATTGTCTCAATCTTGAAATAGTGATACGAATACAACTGGTGATACTATTTTTCCTGGAAATAAACGTCTGCTGGCTCATGACATTGTTCCAAAACTCTTCTCAATGATCTTGTTATTGAATTGCAATGTCCACGACTATAAACTAATAATTTCCGTTCTATTGAACAAAAACCCCAAATTAATTAAGTTGATTACATTCATTCAATTAGAACAATTAAATTTCCCAATGGAAGGAATGAAAAGAGAGAAAGGAAGATAAACAACAATAATGACACTTCCATTTTCTTTGTATCCTATAGTTACTGAGTAATCCTATAAGAACATCGAGGTTTACCCACCCTGTATATTTGCTAATGCCATATCATCGATTGTAAATGTAGAAAATGAAAAAATAAATAAGAATCGATGTTTTAGGAAAATGCTCTTGAGGAAAAATTGAGGCAATACAAGGATTTCATAGACAGAAAAGGAGGACACTTGTACAGCTACGATAAGACGGACATCATACAGTATGCTCTTTGTGAAAGCAAGGACAGCCATGTGTTTAAAGAGGCTTTAAAATTGGCTAAACATTCGGCACGGCTTTATTTTCAGCTGCAGTAAGTTTCGAGTAACTTTTTGGGTTCCTATGTATGCAGTTGTCATGTTTCTTTCTTGTAGAAAACCTTGTGAAGAACTGGACTATTCTGAAATCATAAATATTCGAGATGACATCACTGCTGCTTGCTTTGTGGATTCTCCGCAGCATATTCTCATTGGAACCACCAACGGAAAAATCAAAGTGAGATTTTTTTTCCCAGCCTCAGTTTGTTCTTTACGGAAAATTCCTAAACATATCAATTATCCAGGATACTTTTTATTGTTAGTTTGTTTCAATAACCAATGCCTGCTAAATATCCATGCCACGCCCATTCCCCGTACACTGCGCCATCTATTGAACAAATTTTCAAGTGTTTTTACGCTAACCTAGAAAATGAGAGATGCCACTGGTGACAGATACAGATACCTACAGCAATGACAACAGTTTGACATTTCGTGAGATACATAACCAATAATTTGAAAAAATTCTCGTGAATCAACAAAAAACAAATGACATCTTTGCAATTGCCCGTATGTGCTGCCACCAAGCAATCATACACTGAACCTAGTTATTGGGCTGTCATGACATTCAGGCAGCTCACTTGATATTTAGCCGTCATTGCAATAACTTTTAAAATATAAATTATTGAAATAAGATTATTGGAAATTATTCAGCCCAACTGTGGAATTTTTGTGTTTCAGTTATTCTATGAGCAATCCGTGAAAGAAATCTCGAGTTTTGTGGGACACGCAGGGGCTATTAAAAATTTGATTGTCAGTCCAGACAAGGTTTACTTTTTGTCTGTCTCCATTGATGGCACAATCCTGCTTTGGAAATTTGCGGCGGACAGTTCGAGGAATAGCAGAGACTTCACTAACGAAGTTCCAAGTAAGTGTTTTAAATATAATTCGAAATCTGCCATATATACTACATAAGTACACACTGCTTTTGGGTATTTTTTTCTCATGATCAAGCGTTACAGTTTGCCCTCAGCCAGGCAAACTCATTTCTAGTGAAAATACTGAAAATACATTCCCAAATATATGCTCCCGTTAGAACACGGCGGAAAATCTTCGGCGATACTGACGTCACAAGTTCTATAACGCGTCGACTGTCTACTGGTATTCGGGAAAAAATGGATAATTCACTATTCAGTGAGATGACCAGCGTTGCCGTTTCAACCAATTCATTACTTTGATTTATCGCAAGTCAGTTTAAAACTCACTTGTTCTTGTTTTCCTATACACTGAATTGTGGCATGTTATGACATAGATTTTCGGTCATTCGGGTGGTTAATATAAAGGTCAGTGGTTAGTTCAATCACTTACAAATTTTCTGATGCTCTAAGGCCCAGATGGATGATAAATCAACAACTTGTCATGTTTTTTTTCCACTTTTTATAGAGGCAGATATTCACCAGCTCATTCTGGTGATTTGTGGAGTGACCAAGGTTTTTGATAAAAAAAAATATGACACTATTTCTAGAAAATTTTGTCCATCTGTTAATGCTAGATGTTGTACAAGAGGTAATTCTACAGTAAGAAAGTATGAAATATCTACCTAATTATTTGTGAAGACAAAAAATTACCTATTTCACTCGAAGGATAGTATCAATAGAATTTTTAGAGATTCAACAAGCCCATCCTCAAAATTCGGAAATTCCATCACATGCCAAAACAGCAATTGCCTGAGGTAATAGATAAATTTATCTCTGACCGATTTCATTCATTACCTTGCCGCTATATTTGTATCTGTATTTATTGGAATTGCAATTTCTACTATCAATATTCGTATCATCCTATCATATGAAACAATCCAATAAATACAGGCCACTATCTATCAAGCATCGTACTGATTCGACTCGAAGGACCAATATGATCGATGCTTGATAGATAGTGGACTGTATTCATTGTATGTTTCGACAACTCGTCGTGATGTTATCAAATGAAGAATCTTATACTATATAGGGCAATACAAGTATCTAACTACTATATAGGGTCTTACATCTTCCACTTAGACATCACCGGGTGATGCTCTCCGACTAGCCTTCCGAGAACAGCGGCACGAGTATTTTTCGCAAAGCGTAGTCTTTTAACATAATGAAGGGAAAAAAACTATTTTGGTAGCATAGCTCGATTCGTGTAGGATCTGTCAAGCACCGAACATATTTATCCGGCTCGAAGGACCGATATGTTCGATGCTTGATAGACAGTGGCCTGTATTCATTGGGTTGTTTGATTTTATTGATACATTTTATGTTTCGACAACTCGACGTGATGTTATCAATTGAAGAATCTAATACTATACAGGGTAATACAAGTATCTACAAATGAAGAATCTTATACTATACAGGGTAATACAAGTATCTAACTACTATATAGGTTCTTACATCTTCCACTTAGACATCCTCGGGTGATGCTCTCCGAGTAGCCTTCCGAGAACAGCGGCACGAGTATATTTCGCAAAGCGTAGTCTTCTAACATACTGAAGGGAAAAAAACTATTTTGGTAGCATAGCTCGATTCGTGTAGGATCTGTCAAGCACCGAACATATTTATCCGGCTCGAAGGACCGATATGTTCGATGCTTGATAGGCAGTGGCCTGTATTCATTGGGTTGTTTGATTTTATTGATACATTTTATGTTTCATCAACTCGTCGTGATGTTATCAAATGAATAATCTAATACTATACAGGGTAATACAAATATCTAACTACTATATAATGTCTTACATCTTCCACTAGACATCACCAGGTGATGCGCTCCGACTAGCCTTCCGAGAACAGCGGCGCGAGTATATTTCGCAAAACGTAGTCTTGTAACATACTGAAGAGAAAAAAACTATTTTAGTAGTGAAATACCAATTCAGGAGTGTCGAAGAGGAGTTATAGTTGGTTCTTGGGCTAGTGGTGTGTCTAATCTACATATTTTAGCCGACTTCACAAGAGCTATTCTCATATTTTGTTGATAATATACTATTGCACGCAAATTTTGACAGTATCTCCGAAGACGAGGCAGTCCTACTGGCAGGACATCCACACACCGGATCGCGGTCAAGTCTCCCCTAAAAAGCGCTTCCAAGTCCAAGACAGCGACGATTTCCTGATCTCGGCTGCCTTTTGCTCCTCTTTCCCCGACACCTTCCGCTTAGTGACCGGCTCGAATCGTGTGGGATCTGTCGAGCATCGAACATATTTATCCGGCTCGAAGGACCGATATGTTCGATGCTTGATAGGCAGTGGCCTGTATTCATTGGGTTGTTTGATTTTATTGGTACATTTTATGTTTCGACAACTCGTCGTGATGTTATCAAATGAAGAATCTAATACTATACAGGGTAATACAAGTATCTACAAATGGAGAATCTTATACTATACGGGGTAATACAAGTATCTAACTACTATATAGGTTCTTACATCTGTGACTTAGACATCACCGTGTGATGCGCTCCGACTAGCCTTCCGAGAACAGCGGCGCGAGTATATTTCGCAAAACGTAGTCTTGTAACATAATGAAGGGAAAAAAACTATCTTGGTAGTGACATACCAGTTCACGAGTCGAAAAGGAGTTGATAGCACTTGGTTCTTGAGCTAGTGGTGTGTCTAATCTACATATTTTAGCCGACTTGAGCTATTCTGATATTTTGTTGTTAATATACTATTACACGAAAATTTTGACAGTATCTCCGAAGACGCGGCAGTCCTACTGGCAGGACATCCACACACCGGATCGCGGCCAAGTCTCCCCTAGAAAACGCTTCCAAGTCCATGACAGCGACGATTTCCTGATCTCGGCCGCCTTTTGCTCAGCTTTCCCCGACACATTCCGCATAGTGACCGGCTCGAATCGTGGCAACGTCGTCGTGTGGGACGCCATGAACGAGACGCAGCTCTATCGCACCGGGCACCGGGGACTGCCCGCGCCCTGTGTGATGTACTGCGAAAAAGAGGGCAGGCATTTCGTCAAGTTCGCCTGCCAGGACTCCATTTTCGTGTACGAGATCGAGGACGAGAAGATTTCGTACAGCGTTCAGGTAGGAGGAGGAGAGGTGCGGGTTTTCTTTGGAGATTTTTTCCTCAGAATCATCATTATCATCATCGTCTTTATGATTCCCAAGAAACGAGTTACAAATTTGTTCATAACCAAGAACTGAAAAAATAATGAAGTGGTCGAAACAGGAAACTTTCAGTTACCAACAGTTGTAGTTTCCATACAAGGTGATATCAAGTAGTAGTAATAGTAGGCAAAAACAGTCATTATAGAACACTTTCTATGACGTTTATTACTGACATCTGCTTGTTTATCGAGTTTATGTTCTCATTGTTATCTGTTTATATTTAATTCATGGTCTAGTATACAGTGTCTTTCAGAAAGTTGCCATCATATAGGAAAAACTTTTGATAATAAATTATTTCAAAATTCGACTCGGAGCGTTAAGTTTAGAATAGAAATGATTCAAATCATTGCAATGTTTGCAAAATTTCCAGCTCCACAACAACGACGAATGCAAATCTCTGTTCGAAGCCGATGACAAATTGATAGCGGTGAGCGACAGAAGCGTGAAACAGTGGAAAATGTGCAAAAAGATGAAGGAATACGAATTGGCCGACGAGGTCAAGGTCAACGTTTGCTCTACCATGACGGACGACAAGCAGTATCTGGTCGTCAGTACGAATCAGAGTACCGTTTACATTCTGGATGCGGAAAAGTGGATTTTGCTTAGGGAGTTCGAGAATAAATGGTGAGTGGTGCCAATTAAATGGGGTTGTACACACTAAAGTCACAGGATGGTATTAGGGGGCAATTTTGTAACGCTTAACGACATCGTTAGTGAAGGATAATGGGTTTATATCACAAAAAATTTTATTTCATAATTCGATAGAACTCACCCAAACTAGCTCATCACCGCAAACCGTTTCATGCTGTGAGCTCCCTACGTTTTATAAAAAATTATTGAAATCCCCGATTTTTCGGACCTCTGAAAACGAGGCGATGACGTGACGTCAAAACCCTAATACTGAAACAAGACTATTCCAGACAGAGATGAATGATACATGATTTCTGACAGAGTGAATTAGCGCGAGATCGCAGTTGAAAGAATTAATATATCAGTTGCCTCAGTCTCCGTCGGGCGTTTGGTATTTTCTTTTAACTATGGCGAGATGAAGTTTCTACGTCATAAGAGGGTCCGTTTTCAGAAGGTACTATTATTTAAGTCCAAAAATGAAGCATTCCAGTTAATTTTCCGATCGAATTATGTCTTCATAAAAAATGATGAAAAATAGTCCACTGGACCATTTCTCAGAATCATCTGTAGATCACTTTCGAATTTGATTATACAGGTTGGCGAAATCTTTGGACACATTCTACGACGAAGACAAGTCCGTCCACATTTTGCTGATAGGGTCGGATAGCAAAACGTTGCAGCAGTGCCAGATACAGCCATATGAGAGAGAGCCCCAAATGGAATACATTCCGGTTTTCATGCCGTATTGGAAGACGAAAAATGCTCTCACTGCTATCGTCAGCGAAGAGAACAGGATACAGGTACTCGAATTGTATGATTTTATCTAGATAATGTATCTTGTTTATCTATCCCTACTTCCCAACTGAATATTATGAATGTGAATATAAGTTTGTTTGTCGCCAAAACTACTCAATCGATTATCATGAAGTTTTGTATTCATATTCTTAGATGAATTAGAAAAGACATAGGATAATTTTTATACATATAAAAAAACGACGCGTGAAAAATTATTATGGCAGACATGAATTTTATACAAAAAATACAACAATCAGACATGAAACTCTATACGTCGTTACCTTAAATATTGTTTTTTTTAGAATATCTCTGATTTCAGATGATGAAATGAAAATGACAAATATCTAACCTAAAATCAGATCGGCACTTCGAAGGCGTAAATTCATTCCTGCATGGGATATGTCCCAGACTTGGGTCGAATACTGAAATCCGGTATTCGAATACGAATCCTGAATACTGTATTCTAAATTGTATTCGAATACTCAAGATTCGAATACAGAGAAAAAAAAAAGGATTCGAATACCGCTGTATTCGAATACCTGGATTCATTCACATATGAATATTTCATGAATATTCCAACTGAAAAAAAAACATTTGCGCATTACGTATGTAGTTAATTTATAAAAATATATGAAAAAATAGAAAATCTATCACAATGAGGTTAAATAAGAAACATTTAATAATTTCTATGTCTTAGTTTTATTTGAAGAATTATTCAAAATGAAACGATATTCAATTTATAAATGAAACTTAGAATAAAGTACTTTGGTACATTGGATAACAGTAAGGTTAACACAAAATAGTTGTTTAGCAAGATAATAATGGAAAATAATCTCAAATAATAAATAAAACTGAAAATAAAATACATTCAATTTCAAATAAAACATAGGAATCTCATAAAAACAGACTAGTACGTCAACAGAAAAAAAACACCCATCAAAAAGAAACATAAAGATTAAGAATTTCCTTTACCACACCCGCAAAAGAAAACAATCGTTCTACTGGAGGAGACGACGGTAATATATAGTTATATCTTGAAAATTTTTGCTTAATTGAAGGGCAATCATCGTGAATTCAGCCGGAGCCGTCGCAATATATGATCGACCAATAATATATCGCGACTTCTCCGTTTAAGGGTAACGCAATATTCATAGAAATAATCAAAAAGTATCCGAAAACAGGATTCGAATACCGGGATTCGAATACAGGATTTGGATATCGTGATTCGAATACAGGATTCGAATACCGGGACTCGAATACAAAGTGGGTATTCGAATACTGGGATTCAAAATCGGTATTCAGAATCCAGAATACCGAGTACTGACCAAAAAAGTATTCAGTCGAATACCGAATACCAAATACACAAATGTATTCGAATAGTATTCGAATACCAGCCAAATGTATTCAGAATAGGATTCAGAATACTGGGTATTCGAATACTAAACAAGTCTGAATATGTCCTTCAGATTTCAGTGACTTGACCACGTATCACATTGACTTTTTTCTTCTGCGCAACCAAAATGCACGAATTCAATACTACCTGAATTGGTCCAGGGCGCAACAAGTAATTCATCAGTCGTATGCACATTTGAGAAAAAATTACAACATTTTCAAATGAAAACTATTATGTGACTACAGTACTTTCAGATCACAACTCACCTGGAAAATCTTATTCCTTCGTCTCTCGCTGCATTTTTTGTGCATTGTACAACAGCACAATGTCGTGATGGCATGCTTGAATTAATAATATAGTCCGCAAAACACGATTCATATGTCGAAATAATTGTCATCTGACACATTTGCACGCGATCTATTCAACCAAAATTCAACTCTACTCGCTGCCATCTTGAAGCTTTCAATTTTAACTCCATTTTAAAATACCTCAGAACTCAGAGGCGTAACATCTGATTTGTCTAGAAGTTTGACACGTCGCACGAAATCAACGCGAGCGAAGCCGCGCGCATAAGGTAGTAAATGATAACCAAGAAAAAACACTTACCTACGTGAAGAAGGTCAAATTTTGATTTTACACAGCGAAACACGAAAACACCACACACAAATGCACTATAATCACTAAACTGAAAGATAAATTCACTTGAATCAACCGTTCGCCATGAAATCTAATATGAGACTGACGAGTCTTTTATTCATCACTTTAATGACTAACGAGTTATATCATCTTTCTAATCCATTAATTCCTGAACAAGGTTTTTGGCCCGTGAGTCAATGATGATAACGGAGGTAGGATTTCTTTGATTATTTAGTTGACTCAGACTTTGGAGATTGTGAACAGTTTTTGTTTTGAAAATATTGCAATATGTCACCGTTTTCATCATATTTGTTTTTTTTTCAATTTTTCATTCAGATAGATTTTCAAGCAGATGAGTATTTTGAAATAGCCTTCTTGAATATTTCTAAACGAAGACTTGCCGAAAAATTTCAGTTCAAATTTGTTCAAAGGTATAGGTGGATAGAAAACCAACTAATAAACAATTTTCTCATAACATGTTTCGAAGTTTCTCATATCGGATATCATTTTAATGAAGAATTCTTTTTTTTATCGATTGGAGCGCACGAAAGGGAATCCCTATAATGTTCAAGGAACATCGTGCGTTCCTAGGGAGGATAGGGACAGGAGGTAGGTATTGGAATTTTTACTTATACCAAATAATATGACTTGTTTCATTTTAATATTAGTAAATTACAAAAACAAATATAAAATTCTATTGTGAATTATGATGCCAAGAAATTATCAAAGCTGATACACTTTGTGAATTTACTTTAATTTTCTTCTGTTGTCTATAATTATTACTGTGTTTGTATTTCTGTTATATCCATTTCAGAATTATACAGGGTGGTCCACTTTATAGTAACAAAACTTTGACAATCGATAAAAGATCTTAGAAGAAAAGTTTCTATAAACATTGATATGGTTTTTCACCGATTACTAGAAAACCACGTAACAAAAATACCACATATTCTGGTGACATACTAGTAGTCCAGTCACCCTGTACTTCACAGTGAGGTTACCTGGAAAAAGGTCCGAAGTTAACGATCTTTTCATATGATGGATGTGGCAAGTCTGTGGTGTAGAATCCAAGTTTTCCAATTCGAGGACCCTGTGCTAACTTCAGGGCATCCGAAAAACTAGTGAATTTTCGGACTTTTTTCAATATTTTGCTTATAACTCCTAAACAACACGTTCAAGCGGAAAACACAAGGTTACAGAACTTAAAGAAGATTAAATATCCTACAATTATCATCTATCACTTATTTTTTTCACCGAATACGTACCGAGATATAGCGCTTCAAACTCTCACAATATCGAAAAACTGCTATAAATTCAGGTTCTTCACTAGTATATTTCATCTTCCATCATTTTCAAATGGGTATAAAGGGTGTTAATAAATAAGTGTAACAACGGAAAACTGTAGATTCCTCATAGAAAAAGAGGAATGTTTTATCATTACGAAATTTTTCTCCGGTCTTCCGTTTTCAAGATACAGGGCGTAAAAAAAATGAAAAAATTCAGTTTTTTCTGTGACGGGAAGAAAGTTCGGCAATTCATCTCTGTTGGCAGGTTATAAAATGTCACTTTTCATAAACTACTTTTTTCCCGTGGAAAAAAAGTGAGTACTTTTTTCCCGGATATATATCACATATATATATACTCTGTTAATCGCTTTTGTTGTGCTATAGTTCCGGAAAATAAGTCAATAATACCGTCTTCGAGAAAGAACTGCAAGTCCTTTTATCTTCCATTCGACTTCGCGGTTTCGTATATTACTAAACAACTACTGAATTCGCAATTTTTTAAAATCAAATCACAGAATTGAGCTGACAGAAGTGACATCAGATATTTGATTACTTCAAAAGAATGATAAAGATTTCTATAAAACGCAGGTGTCCCTACTGTTAAAAACTTGAAATTTCACGTCGATAATTTTCAGATTTCGAAATAATGTAATATCTTCCCAATATTGATTCGTCCTTCCTTCTGTCACAAAAAAAATAGTGTATTATACACGGGAAAAATATTAGATTTTAGCTCACGGTTTTTCGTCTCCCTCCTCTACGCGTCGGGAGACAACACAACCTGGAGCTAATCTACTACTTTTTTCCCTTGTATAATAAATAACTATTTTTGCTCTTATCTCAGGGACCGTTCGAGCTACGGAGCTGAGCCTTTATGTACACACTTCATCATTAATAATATCTACTTCTAAGGCTCTTGATCATTTTTCTTGGACATGTCAGTGGCGTCATGATCTTGCAAATTCTTTTCCTCCATGCAGTTAGCGAGTGTGACACTATATCGAACCCTTTTGGAGTTGGAAAGAAGAAAGTCCTCTATATATGAGAAAAACCAGTTTCTGTCTGACATTGCTAGTGTTTTCAAAGATGAAGATGCAACACCACGCCAAATTTCGGTAGCAGGAGAAAAATTTCTCGTGGTACCATTCTTTTAGAACTTATTTACAAGTGCAGCCGTGGCTGGGCAACGAAAAGTCACCGTCTGTTTGGGGCTGAACTCTCACAAAACGAGGGTTGATACCCATAACAACGACCACAGATGCAGCTCCAGAAAAGTTGCTGCACATGATACAATGTAAGTGCATGACAGGTTGTAGCACCGGAGTTTGCAGCTGCAAAAAAGCAGGACTCCGGTGTTCAGCCATCTGCAAGAATTGTGCAGGAAATGCTTGTGAGAATTCGCCTGAAACCGAACTCAACGAGGAAGATACCGACATTCAGTGCGACGAGGAGGTCGTCATGGATGAGACCATTGCTCAGGACGAAGATGCCGACCTGCCATTGGGAACAACAAAATGAAGGCTTTTTATTTGTAATCATTTTACTCAGTTAATAAATTAAAATCTCATTAAGAAAGAGGTTTCCATTGTTCAGGTTATTGAAAGTTATTCATATACGGATATTGAAACGTGAAAGATAAAAGCTCGGATAAAAGTTACTTGAGAAAAACGTGCATTATTCGCAGTTTTTCGATATTTGGAAGAAATGTCGATACTTCAAAGCGCCATATCTCGGTACCTATCAAATTTTGAGCAACGGTTTATGGATGTAATTTGTTGAAAATTTTATGCTCTACAACTTTTGTAATAGAGTATTTTTGACTAAAGCGCTTATTTTAGTAGTAATAAGCAAAATACTGAAAAGAGAGGCAAAAATTGTTGGTCTTTCGATTGCCCTGAAGTTTGCACAAGGTTCTCGAATTGGAAAACTTGGTTTTTACACCACGAAATACCCACTTACAACATATCAAAAGATCATCAACTTCGGACCTTTGTCCAGGTAAATGTACCTGGTGACTGGACTATAGGCATTTGTGAGCAAATATATTCGTAGTATACTTCAGCTGATATCAATACCAGTGGTCGGCTCTACTTCTAGTGTACGTCTATCACATCCACATCAAAGTATACTTATTTTTCATGATCCCCTCATCTCTCGCAGGTCTACAACGGATATACCATATACCAAAATATCCGAAACCGACGCAGTTGATATCAATTCTCTGGCAAAAGATTCCGCAGAGCTATCCCCACCATTCGCGATTCCATTCAATCATCCTTGTTTGGCGTTTTGTATTGTCGGCGTATACTTTTTAGTGATTTATGAATGAATCGCTGTCTGTCTTTTCGTGCAGGTCTACAACGGCTACACCCAAATATCCGAAACCGACAGCGTCCCCACTTCTCCTGTCACTTGCACCTGCTTCTCGATCGGCGGCGACGCTGTCGTCTACGGCCTCAAGAGCGGCGAGATCCGCCATTTTGAAATCAAGACGAAGATCGACGAGGCTCTCTGTGACGCCTCCGAGACGCCGGTGACTTACCTCAAGTGCTACGACGCTAGCAACGCGTACCAGTACCGGGGCAGGTTGGGTTCGGGCAGCAGTTCGGACAGTTTGGATTTGTTGGACCGTCCGGAAGGTAAATGATATGAGAATGTACCTCCCTTGGCAGTCCCCGCGAGATTAACCCGTTGAGTTGAGGCTTCGCACCACTTCGTGGTCACTTTGGAGACCTGCAGAACATCTCTTTTCCAAAGACTCGTTCATCCAACGAACAGCGAGGCTCTGGGACACATTGCCAAGGGAGGTGTTCCCCGAGGCATATAACCTCCAGAAATTTAAGAAGAACACCAATTCCTACCTTATTTCCCTTGGTTGTCACGATGTTCTCTGAACATTACAGTATATCCCTTTTCGTGGGAAGACAGGCGCAGATCGAGGCGATGTTTGAAAGGGGGGGTATAGAATATGAGGGATAAAGGTTAACAAGGAAGAGAAATACCTAAATCTCAACATATGAGTCCGCCCCTATTTCAACAGGAGTGAAATTTTCAGAAAATATGTGTTTTTAGGAATGGTGGTGTGCGTTTTTGGGAACGATCGGATTGCCGTTTTCAAGCAAGGCGATAGGTTGGAGAGGAGCATCCTCAAACCCCTGATTTTCTACAAGAATTCGCAGATGGTGATCGTCGATTCGTTCTGCGGCATCTACAAGTGGGACTTGGATAGCGATAATTTCGTACAAATCGAAAATCGGCATATCTTCGAGCCGGTAGAAGTCGTCACAGCCTGTTTTTGCCCCCACAAAGGTCAGAATAGAATTATTTCCGGAATTTATACGTCTATATTGTGATAACTATCTTACAGAAATATTTTTCACAAAAAAAAAATATCTCAGCAATAACTAACAACAAACAATTTTTTACAATGAAAATGGATTGCAGCCACTTTTAAAAAATAGTTTTTTTCAAGAGAGAATAAATGGAATATGCAACCAGTTTTTTCAAAATAATAAAATGCCTACTAGTGTTTCCTGATGTTTGTGATGTAATTTTGATCATGACAATTGAACAAACCCAATTCATAGAATATCCAATGAGGATAGAACCTATTGTATATACATTTTGAGAAAATGAAAAGTGAATCGTTCATTCTAGCCAGAAATATGAGAATTATAACATAAACATACTGTGTATGTGTCTACGATTTTTCAAGCGGATAAAAACAATTCGTGAAAAATCCCAATCCCTTTCAATCCCAAGTACACAAGAAGACTTGATAAGGTGTTCAAAGACTTAGGTTTTGAAAGCGTTTATCAGTCTGGGTTAAAGTTATACAATTTATCAGGTAATCCATAAGATAAGGTGGACACACTTAAGTCAGGAATATATCGAATTAGTTGTAATGATTGTGATAAAACATATATAGGTCAAACCAGATGTCCCATAAAAACAAGGTTCAAAGAACACTTAGCACATTTGAAATATGATTGGTTAGATAAAACGTGTGTAGCCGAACACAAGTTCAATCACAATCATAACACATATCAATAACCTCAAATTAGTTGAGCAAGTTGATAATGTTAGAAAATTAGACGCATATTAAAGCTTAGAGATATTCAAAAATAGTACTAGAGTAATGAATAAGGATAATGGTCCTATCCCATTTAGCCTTCTGTATAATTTATTATAACATGTGAACTGTTGTCTGTTTTCTTTTGAAGGATGTGTTTAAGTTGATATTCCAGCCTAAACAACCTCTTGAAAAATAAGTTTCCAGAATTTTGGTTTATAGAAACTGAATTTAATTTTTCAATGTATTTCAAGTTCCTTGTGAAATTGAATATTTTGAATTCCCACTCGCTGATTTTGGTGTTTTTAAATGGTTGATATTGATGAAGGGACCAAATTTGATTCCTCTGTAAAGTTGGATCTTTGAATTTTTTTTTCAGATGATCTTCATTTTTCATGTTCTCTTTTTGGATGTTCATCAGATATAATTTACTGTTCAACGTGGCAAATAGCCAGGAAAGTAGTTGTTTTCTGTAGAATATTTAGAATGATATATGCATATCTTTATATGAGGGAGACTGCAAATTCTCTACTTCAGAAGATTTTGTTTTCAAATTCTTATCATGTATGTACGTTCAATAGATGTAATTCAATGTTTATCGTGGCATAAAGCCAGGAAATTAGTTGTTTTCTGTTGAATAGACCGAGAAAAAATTGATATTTTCATCACATAGAGAATGCAAATCCTATATATATATATATATCCATTTTTTTCTGTTCATAATTTCATCTGAGAATATTCCTTTTTTTTATCCTTGAGTTTGAACTATTGTGGAAATTTTCAATTTTTTGTTATCATAATCGTAATCAGCGAAAAAATACTAACTATTGCCCACCTAATTTGATCCACTCGGCATATAACATTATTTTGTGTTCCAATTTTTCAAGGATCTCTGGCGATTGTGTATATGCAGGCGACCAGCTACTTCCTGGACGTGTACTTGCCAACAGAGGGCGCTGACAGCGTGGAATTGGACAAAAGACTGCAGCTGCCTGGAAAAGCCAGATCTGCTTGCTTTTCCAGCGACGGAAAACTGTTAGCGCTCGGATTCCTATCAGGAGAGATAAAGGTTCGAAATTGTTTCTTCCAAATCAAAATTTTACCTTAATTATTTACACTAGCCAGATGAACCATCCTTACGAGACCAATGAAGGCGGAAATTCTACTCAGTAGGTGGCGGTTATCTACAGTGTGACCCACTTAAAAGCGGGACACTTCAATAAAATTTTCAAGTGGGTCACACTGTTAGTGTAGATATTCAAGAGTTTGAGACGAATCATATGATTTTTGTTTCAGGTTTGGAAGACTTTCGACAAGTACCCAACCATATCTCTGGACTTGCATGACGATCCAGTGGAAGATTTGCTGTTTTCGCCGAATATGGAGCCCATTTTGGTCAGTTTGGGTGAGCAGATCGCCTGGTGGAATCTCAAGAGTTTTCTGGAGACGAAGAAGAAACGCGGAAGACCAAAAAGGTGAGAAATAAAATCAATTTGAGAACACTTTTGGGGTTATAAAGAAAATATATGTATCATTAGGGGGAAGGTTTTCAGCATTTTTTATTCCTATATTTTGAGAATAATATCGTAGAGTTAGTTTGTTAAACATTTCATCACTTGAGGCCACAGCAGTCATGAATTCTGCATTTTAGGACTCAAAAATAACGTGCACCACACGGTTCAGCTTTGGGCCTAGTTGTATTTTTTTTTAAGTTAATATTTAATGATTGTCGCCATTTAAAATTAATGCGGATAGGTAAGGTCACATTACTGTACCTTGTGCGACTCCAATATGAAATATCTCACAGTTAAGTAAGATAGCATCATGATTCTGCACAATCACAGCTGCAGCTAGATATTGACAATTGACTGTCTCAATTTTAACACGTAATATCTTGAACTTTACAAATAGCAATTGACACTAATTGATATTGCATATATTCCTAAAGTTTTTTGAAAAATCAAACTGCAATTTTCAATAATCTCGACATTTAAAAAGCCTGCGGATAGGAAAGGATCTAATATACTACCCACTACTACTTAGAAAACTGGTTTTAATCCGTCAAAATCATTGATTACAATCCGTTAAAATTGTTGATTGCAATCCGTCAAAATTATTGATTAAGGAAATACATAATATATGTCTGATTTTATGGTAATTGCACAAGAAGTTCCACAGGGATCCATACTTGGACCCTTGTTTTTGATCTTATGCATAAATGAATTACCTTCTGTTGTACCATCAACCACTCTTCATGCAGATGATTTAACATTCCTGTTTAGTGATAAAGATTTTAAATGCCACGGTTCAGCTTTGGGCCACTTACATTCGCCATATACCCAGAGCTGATCGTAACTCGCATGAAAAATGAGGTGCACAACACGGTTCAGCATTGGGCCTAGTTACATTCGCCATATACCCAGCGCTGATCGTAACTCGCATGAAAAATGAGGTGCACCGCACGGTTCAGCATTGGGCCCAGTTACATAAGCGATTTACCCATTGCTGTTCGTAACTCGCATGAAAAATGAGGTGCACCGCACGGTTCAGCATTGGACCCAGTTACATTCGCCATATACCCAGCGCTGACAGTAACTCGCATAAAAAATGAGGTGCACCGCACGGTTCAGCATTGGACCCAGTTACAGTCGCGATTCACCCTAGTTCAATCTGAAATTTGTTCCAGCATCGACATCTTGGACAATCTCAGCTGCGACTTGCGCTCCATGAACATATCCCTGTGGGGCGATCGCCAGCCCTTGCCTGGCTGTTCCCACCTTTTGGCCTGCATCAAGTTGAACGGCAAGGCCAAGTACGTGTCGGCTTCCAACGATTTCAACTCTTTTCTAACTATAGATGACAACGGCAAAGTGTACATCATGGAGATAGTCCATCCCGATTCGTAACCGGTCGCGAGGCTGTGACAGGGCTCGGTTTTGCGGGGTGGTTTCCGAATAGGGTGCCGATTCGATGCGATATTTACAGGGTCATTCTGCAAATTCAAAGAGCTTCTACAGGGTTCATCATTGAAGATAAAAAAAAGTTGAAATACAGAAGTTGTAGGGTCTGTTTTGAACCCCTAGAAAATTGTACGAGGTGAAAGAAATGAATATCGATGATACAAGAAATGGGTACCAACCTCGTTAATTTCAATGTAACACGCTTTATATTTTTTGACTGATTGAAGATATTTCTTTTCTGATATCAAAAATGATGAAAATTTTATGTTGGCAATACAGGAAATGAGGAGAAATGGAGATGAAGACCATATCAACCATTTTTATATTGAGGTTAATGTGATCTCTATTTTTTCCATTTCCAATGTTACCAACACAAAATTTCCATTATTTTACGTTTGATTCTTCATGGCAACTGCGATTAGGAAAACCAAATTGTAAGTAAGAAATGTTCAACCTCGAATATTTTGAAAACGGTTGAACCGAATATCAACAATCTATATATTTTTGAAATCAGAAAAGAAATATCTTCAATTTTTTCGAAAAATATATAGGGTATTCCATTGAAAAAAACGAAGTTGGTCCCCATTTCTGATATCAGCGATATTCATTTGTTTGACCTCGTACAATTTTCTGGAGGTTCAGAACAAACCCTACAACTTTTGTATTTTAAATTTTTTCTATCTTCAATGATGAACCCTGCGGAAGCTGTTTGAATATACGGAATGACCCTGTACAGGGTGTCCCAAATTCGAGGGGTAACATTGATATCTCGGTAACCGTAACAAATACAAAGTCGGTTAAATTAGGGGAAAGTTGCGCAATTCGATTCTGATCAAAATGCCACCTCAAAAGTTTGGAAATTCTGAATACTTCCGAATATATTTTGAAAAAACCGAATATCCTCGATTTCTTTTTCATTTTTTTTTCTGACTTCATTTGGAATGATATGACGAAATGAGTTTCATATTATCATTGCCATTTTTTCCGCTCTTAGATTTGTGATCCGACGTTTTGTCTTTTTTGTTCCAGAAAACTCTAATTCCAATTCTGAGTACAGTGGCATGATCTAGAAAGGAGAAAATTAGAAAAAAATCATTTCTTAGAACCAGAAACTTCGTCGTCATCAGATTTTTAATCCGACGTTCCTTTTTCTGATACTGATGATGATTCTTTGGCCCGAAACTTCGGATAATTGTAAAGTTTAATACGTCATTGGATTCAGAATTGTAATTAGATTTTTTTTGGGACAAAATTTATTTTTCGACTTCAAAAAACAAAGTTAATGATTGCTCCTCGAAGACGAAACGTTACAAAATCTATGAATACCATTGGATTGAACGGAAAAAGTGGCTATGATGATATGAAACTCATTTTGTCATATCACTTCAAACAATAAAGTCAGAAAAAAATTAAAGTGAAATCGCGGATATTCGTTTTTTTTAAATATCTTCGGAAGTATTCGAAATTCCCCTTTTTTGTTTTTTGAGGCAGCATTTTGATCAGCATCGAATTGTCCAACTTTGCCCTAATTTAACCAACTTTGTATCTGTTATAGTTACCGAGATCCCAATGATACCCCTCGAATTTAGAACACCCTGTACAGGGTGAAGAAATGAATCCTTAATTTGGTTGACTGAGGAATATTCTCTCTTTTCTGTCGTAACTTAAGTCTCGGAAAGAACAAGAAACAGTAGAAGGTAACACTGATATACAGGGTGATTCAGTTGCAAGTGCCACAAATTGGAATGGCTAATAGATTAAGGTAAATTATGAAAAATGAGGCGGCATTGGGAAAAATCCAGGAACAACCTAATCGCCCACAAAACAATTGTGAACTAATGTTTTGACATTTTGAAAACGCGATATGCAGAAAAAAATAGAATATTTCGGTAAAAAGACATTTTCAAATAAAAAATGTATTTCCATGATTTAGGTTTGTCTGCAAGCCATTTAATGTGTGTAACTTGGTACTGAATCATCTTGTATGTGATTGCAAAAGACGACAGAGTTTGAAAAACTAATAACGAAAACAGGGCGTATTACGCTTTGAGGGTTGCTCTTATAAGGGTCGTGAAAAAGCCATCTGATTTCGAATATAATTTTTTTTCATCAATATACAGGGTGATTCAGGTTTTAAGGCACAAACTGAAATGAGAGATAGATCTCATCATTTTAATCAAAAAAGTTAATATAAACATTAGTCCGATCTCGTTTAGTAGCGGAGCTACAGGGGGTCAAAGTTGAATTATTTTTTTCTACTAATTGAAATAGCTCGCTTACCTTTCAAGATATCGCTTTGAAATTTGGCGTGGTCTATACTTTCTAGAAGATCATCATTTCAAGCCATTTAAAGATTTTTAAAATCTACAGGGTGATACATTTTTGGGGGTAGAGACTTCTTTATCCCCCCCAAACTTTTTCGTAGTACGTCTCTGGCATCTTCCAGTGATCAAATTGTGTAGATCGTTCAATTTAGAGGCTCTTTCGCTCTTTCATGTTTTTCGAGAAATGAACCGGTTTTGAGATAAATAAGCATATACGTTCTAAAACATGTTAATTTTGCATATGTTTCGCTAACATTCTATTTACGTTGAATGTGCAATGAAATGTACTCACTAGAATTGCTATCACGAGTCCAATCTGGATCAGTAACGGGAATACAGAGGGTAGAAAGTCAAGGTTTTCTCCAGATGAATAAAATTTAAGCGAAACATAGGCAAAATTGACAAGTTTTAGAACTTATATGCTTATTTATCTCAAAAACGGTTCGTTTCTCGAGAAAAATTGAAGACCAAAAAAAGCTTCTGAATTGAACGATCTACACAATTTGATCACTGAAAGATGCCAGAGGCGTACTTACGGAAAAGTTTGGGGGAATAAGGAAGCCTCTCCCCCCAAAAACGTATTATCCTGTAGATTTTGAAAATCTTTAAATGGCTTGAAATGACGACCTTCTAGAAAGTATTGACCACACCGAATTTCAAAATAATATCTCAAAAAGTCAGCGAGATATTTCAATTGATAGAAAAAAATAACTAAGCTTTGACCCCCTGTAGCTTTGCTTTTGAACGAGATCGGACTAATGTTTATATAAACTTTCTTGATTAAAATGATGAGATCTATCTTCCATTTCAGTTTGTGCCTTAAAACCTGAATCACCCTGTGTAATGTGAATTTAGTGATGGCTTCTTTTTCATGGACAACCCTGTATAAATAAAATTCTGGATAGAAAAATCGTCCCCCATCAATTTTCATCTCGATTTTGATAGATCTAAAAGCAAGTTTCACATAAAATTAATGAAAATTGAATCTTGTGAACCAAATCAACATAAAAAATGGTCTGCTCACTGATGAACTAATATCCTATTGGTTTCAAAATAAACTTGTTTCATCTTGATTTCTCGATCATTGAGAAGAGAAATTCACACTACTTTTGTGGATTCTTCCTTTGATTTTAGCAAATTTTCAATATTAATTAGTAATGAAATTTTGATGGAGCTTTTCGATTTACACTATTTGCAGCTCTGTTTCCGGAATTCTCTCTTGAATACACTGGATGATTGATTTCTACTTGGCGAATTTTCCGCTGGAATGTTTTTCTCGGGACTCCTGGAGAAAAAGCTTCTTCGAGTCCCTCATTTTCAGTATCGTAAATTATTATCGACATCCTATTTTAGGAAGCCCTGTATATCGGAAGGGCGATCCGTCCACTCATTTACTCGTAGATTTGCTAGGTAATTTTTCTTCTGCTTTGATACCGATCTCTCTAACGGATCGCCCTGTAAAAAGAATCTACTGCCACGTGCAATACCAGATGCTCAAAGGTGCTCAAATAGGTGGACAACGTAAGTTTAAGCTCATTAGATGTTTTTTTTTATTGGCAGTGAACACTGTGATTTACATATCGTGATTGCGTGAAGATTATCGTTGTCTTTTTTTTAATATTAATTTTATTATACAATTACTTTATTGGTATGGATAGTTTTTTGATGCTATTTTACACGCGTTTTGTTGCTGTTTTTTTTTGAGCTTCGGATGTGTAAATACGCATTTGAATGTTTTAGATATACAGTGTGTCCCACTTACCATGCTCAACATGGGTATCTTTTTAACGGTGAGAGATACGAGGTCGGTTAAATGACACCAAATGTGGAGTTTGTCAAGGCCAACTTCAATGTGAAAAATATTTTGATAAAATCTATTAGTTTTTGTTTTATACGCAAAAAAACAGATTTTGATCATTTCCATGTCTCCTCCGTAACTTCTTTATTTATGAAAATATTCAAATAGGAATTTCACGTTCTCATGGCAGTTTTTCAAAGTGATTTCGAAAAAAATATGAAGTTTATACCATCTCTTCTAAAATTTGAGATATCAGCACCAACTTTATTTTTTCAAATGTAGCTCACTATGACTTAGTTACAAATAACTTTTTTTTCTCTTACAGATGATATGTCGCAGTAGTAGTTTTGTGTTGATAACAACGGAGTTATCGTCATTTATACAAAAACAAAACATTATTTGGAAGCCGCCATCTTGAATTTATAAATTTTAACAAAAAATCATGATCTCCGACCTCAAAAACCCCCACTTACCAATTTTGAATGGAATCGGACCAAATCTTGTCCGCCATCTTGGAGCAGCCATTTTTTTTTTAATTTCAGCAAAAATCCCATGACTCAACTTGGAATTTGGCAGGTGTTCATAATTTCGGTGACAATACATTATGGAATTTTTGTTGAAATTGAAAAAAATGGCTGCTCCAAGATGGCGGACAAGATTTGGTCCGATTCCATTCAAAATTGGTAAGTGGGGGTTTTTGAGGTCGGAGATCATGATTTTTCTGTTAAAATTTAAAAATTCAAGATGGCGGCTTCCAAATAATTTTTTGTTTTTGTATAAATGACGATAACTCCGTTGTTATCAACACAAAACTATTACTGCGA